TCTCTGGCCGTTTCTCCATATCTTGCTACTCGATCAACAATAAAGTAGAATATGAGACCTTAACCAAGACGAAATTGTAGATCTCTTAATCTAGAAAAAATCATAAGTTAGCATCCCCTTTATCTTTGTTACCAAAATAATTATAATTTTACTATATACTTGATAAAAAGGAATTTCCAAAATATCATCATCTTTAAACAACTAACTTTATATCTTAGAAGATGTCTAACACACTTTTTATATTTTTTCTTGATGAGTAAGAGAACTAGAGATACATTTACTCTTTAATTAGGTTTAGCTCTTCTATTCCATCCTCTAATAGCAATATATTAGAAGATTCGTTTAATTAAATAGAAGATTCAAACTCCACTACTAAAGGAGGAAAAAATTATCGAATTAAATAGGTAAACCATATCACAATCATGGACTTTAAGATATTGTCTTCCCAAATGAATTGCCAATATTTTGAGCTCTTTCCTACATCCAAAAAAAAGGATTTATCTCATTAAAGACTAATTTATAAGCATTTTCTAATTCCCACTTTCTTCTATTATTCAGATAAGTTTGATAATAAGTATTATTACAATCCAATTTATTTTATTAGATTTAAGATTTCTATCTAGATAATTTTCAAATTATAAATACTAATAAAAATCTTTCAGTTTAGTTCAAAAATAACAAAAAATGTCTGAAAATAAAACTATTCACTTTGATCAAAAATTTAAATATATATAAATAGGATTTTTTTTTGAATCAATCTAAGTTTCTCTAAACAATAAATATTATAACAAATTAATTAATTTATGTAATTCTGCCTTATAGAAATCAGTATTTGCAGTAGAAATTTAAGAAAAAATAGGGGATATGAAAAAATTTTGATTTGTAGCTACATTTGACAAATTAGAAAAAGATGTAATTATATAAATGTATATGGGACTTTTACGTATTTTAATTCATGCTGGTGTTTAAGGAAAAGATGGGGCAATTCAGCATCCTTTAGATTTTAGCATAATTCCCTAAAACTTATTCATGATAATATCTATAAATAGATGCAGCTATTATATTATTCAGGTTTATCCAGTCGACTTTGATCACCTCTATTTATTTCTTTTTTTTCCACAATAATACACAATTTCCACTTTTTTAATTGTTTAAATATTCACTTCCTTTATAAGGGTGAGCTTTTCTTTGATATTTTAATAAAATAATTCTTTTTCAGTTTTCTCCATAAGCATAAAATATTTCATATAAAATGATTATCAATTTTATTTACAATCAGTAGACATAATTACAAATTGTCTTAGAATTACATTTTGGGCTTTTGATTATCTTCGAAAACTAAATTTAAAATGAAAAACAAATTTATTGCAACAATTAATGACAATAAAATTACTTATAATCTGCTCTTTTGAGAAACTTAATTATGTAATTAAAGCTTTTAAAGTTGATATAATAATTGAATAAAAGGATTCTATGTTATATCTACTCTTTTTTACAAAGAAATTATTTGATATAAT